ATAGGCTCAGCACCTGTGGCTCAAGTGGCTGAGGCGCCAGCCACATACACCTAAGGTGGCGGGTTCGAATCCAGCCCGGACAATGATGACTGCAACCAAAAAATAGCCGGATGTTGTGGCAGATGCCTGTGGTCCCAGCCTCTTGGGAGGCTGAGGCAGGAGACTCAGGCAGGAGGCTAGAGCCCAGGAGTTGGAGGTTGCTGTGAGCTGTGATGCTACAGCACGCTACCCCAGGTGACAGCCTGAGGCTCTGTCTCAAAAAAAAAAAAAAAAAATGATAGCACTACATTGCTATTATATTACAAAAAAAGAGATCTCATAATACCTAATACCAAAAGACAACAGTGAATACTGTCACAACTGTAACTGTTAGTCACTGCTTGAGTGAAAGCAAAACTATACACATACACATACATACTAGCCACAATACAGTTTGGACAGCTCCAAATCTCCAAATGTTGAAATGTGAATCTCCAATGTTGCAGGTGGGGGTTGTTTGAGGTCATGGGGTAGACCCCTGAGGAATAGGTTCATGCCCGCCCTGGGGAAGCAGCGAGTGAGTCCTTGCTCTGCTAGTTCCCACGACAGTGGGCTGTTGTAAAGAGGCTGGCACTTCACCTCTTGCTCTCTCTCGCTTCTTCCCTCGCTGTGTGATCTCTGCTAATGCTGACTGGCTGGCCTGCACCTTCTGCCATTGAGTGGAAACACCCAACACCCTCACCAGATGCTCAGTCTTGAACCATCTAGCCAGCAGAACAGGAAGCTTGAAAATCTCTTTCCTTTATACGTTACTCAGCCTCTGGTATTCCTTGATAGCATCACTAATTGGACTTAGGCAAGCCATTTTGGAAAACAGTATGTCAGCTTCTTATAAAGTATACATTTATTGTATGATCCAGAAATCTACTGCCAGGTATTTGCCCAAGAGAAATAAAAACATATGTTCATAGAGAAACCTGTAGATGAATCATCAGAGCAGCGTTATTCATAGTCATAAAAAACTGGAAACATCACAAATGGGAATATTATTCAATAATAAAAAGAAACAAGTTACTAACATATACAACACCAACACAAATGAATTTCTTTTCTTTTTCTTTGGAGACAGTCCGAACCTGGGTAAAGTGCCATGGCGTCACAGCTCACAGTAACCACCAACTCTTTGGTTTAAGCAATTCTCTTGCCTCAGCCTCCCAAGTAGCTGGGACTACAGGTACCTGCCACAATGCCCCGCTATTTTTTGGTTGTAGTTGTGATTGTTGTTTGGCAGGCCCGGGCTGGATTTGAATCTGCCAGCTCTGGTACATGTGGCTGGAGCCCTAGCCACTGAGCTATAGGCGCCAAGCCAACTCAGATCAATTTTAAATGTATTGTGCTAGTGAAAAAAGACAAACTTAAAAGGCTACATTCCTATGATTCCATTTGTATGACATGATGTAAAAAACAGAATGATTATCTATTGGTTTTTTTTTTTTTTTTTTGAGACCGAGTCTCACTCTGTCGCACTGGCCGTAGCATCACAGCTCATAGCAACCTCAAACTCTAGTGCTTGAGCAATCCTCCTGCCTCAGCCTCCCTAGAGATGGGGGGTTTCACTCTTGCTCAGGCTGGTCTAGAGTTCCTGAGCTCAAGCAATCCACCCATCTTGGCCTGCCAGAGTGCTAGGATTGCAGGCATGAGCCACTGCACCTGGCCAAAACACAGAATTTTAAAAGATGGAAAATAGATCAATGGTCACCAAATCTGAGAGTGGGAGAGTGCCACAAGGGAATTTGAGGGTGAGGCAGATGTTACTGTTCTGTATCTTCATTACTATAGTGCTTAGAAGATAGTATTTGTTTATGAAAGTACCCAACAGGGAGTAAATTTTACTGTATGTAAATTATACCTCAACACACCAGACTTGAAAAACAGCCTACCTTACCACTAAGTTTTAATAAGATCTGTTAAGATGCAAATATAAAAATTATGAATGATGAGCAAATTATGGCTGTCTCAAGCAAGTTAAGTTCATCAAATAGACTTAATTAAAATTTGAGAATGTTTTAGATGTTAAGTCTGTTACAACTTCTGTACAATAGGAATCAGAAGGCCTGCTGCCCTAATTCTGCCAATTAAGTGACACATAGGTCACTCCAAAAGTTTTTTGTTTTGAGACAGAGTCTCAAGCTGTCACCCTCGGTAGAGTGCAGTGGCGTCACAGCCCACAGCAACCTCAAACTCTTGGGCTTAAGCAATTCTCTTGCCTCAGCCTCCCAAGTATCTGGGACTATAGACGCCTACCACAACACCGGCTATTTTGTTGTTGTAGTTGTAGCTGATGTTTGGCAGGCTCAGGCTGGATTCAAACCTGCCAGTTCCAGTGTATGTGGCTGGTGCCCCAGCTGCTGAGCTACAGGCGCTAAGCCTACTCCCAAAGTTTTGAGACAGACTGCCTCATGGTCCATTATTTCACTTCCAAGAAACACAGTCAACAATGTCCTTTCTGATTCATGTGTGCAAGTTTTAACTTGCTCTGCTTATCACTGCTGCTGAGAAGGCTTTATTTATTTTCTGCTATGCAGATTTTTTTCCTGAGTTTTGTATATCTTAAAACTTTTGTAATGACCCAGATACATGGCAGTAATAGACTGTTTCCCTTCATTTTTCTGCTTGCTAATTTTATAAATTTTATATTTATATAATATATATATTTTATATATGTAATATATAATATACATTTTATTATATAAAATGTGAAAAAAATTCCTAAACTCAAGATGGCTGAAGCCATCAAGAGCTAACAATATGGGGTGGCACCTGTGGCTCAAAGGAGTAAGGCACCAGCCCCATATGCCAGAGGTGGTGGGTTCAAACCCAGCCCCAGCCAAATACCACACACACACACACACAAAAAGATAACAATATGGAATATATATATATATATAAAAATATATTTAACCAACCAAAGGTAGATACTATGTATCATTACATCAAATTTCATCAGGGCTAAGACTGAAATTTCAACCTTAATAAAATTCTGTTGGCTGGGTGCAGCAGCTCATACAGAAATCCTAACACTCTGGGAGCCTGTGATGGGTGGATCCCTTTAGCTCAAAACAGAAAAAGTAGCCAGAAGTGGTGGCAGTGCTTGTAGTCCCAGCTACTCAGGGCAGGCTGAGGCAAGAGAATCACTTGAGCCTAGGAGGCCGAGGTTGCTGTGAGCTATGATGGTGCCATAGCACTCTACCCAGGGTGACAGAGTAAGACTGTCTCAAAAAAAAAAAAAACAATAAAATATTGTCATTATAAATAGTAACAAGAAGGGGGAAAGTAAATTATTCTCCAGAGCAGAATTAAAAGTAAATACACAACAGGAATCACAAGTACATAAAAAACTAGAATGGGAATAAATTGGGCCTTTGGCCTTTTCTTAATGGTTACTTTCTTTGAGGGAGGCACAAAGATGCTGTTTTCTAAGAAAAAATATTATCATTTAGTAAAAAAAAAATTTTAAACACTTAGCAAGTGCTTGCTATCTGTCAACGCTGAGTGCTTTACACATTGTGAACTAATTTACTATTCATAAGAACCAAAAGATGGCACCAACTGTACTTTGATTATTTTCTAAGAGTCTTATTCATAAAGCTTCAACAAGTCTTAATATAGTGAAAGAAAGCCATGTAAGGGCTGGGTGTGGTGGCTCATGCCTGTAATCCTAGTACTCTGGGAGACTGGGGTAGGTGGATCGCCTAAGCTACCAGATTCGAGACCAGCCTGAGCCAGAGGGAGACCAGGTCTCTAAAAAAAGCTGGGCGTTGTAGTGGGCGCCTGTGGTCCCAGCTACTCAGGAGGCTGAGGAGTGAGAATCGCTTGAGCCCAAAAGTCGGAGGTTGCTGTGAGCTGTGACGCCACCGCACTCTACCACGGGCAACAAAGTTAGACTCTGTCTAAAAGCAACAACAACAACAACAACAAAATTTAAATCAGTAATGCTGAATTTAAAAGAGTTTCTGAGGACTCCCTGGAAGTCCCAACATCTGAGCCCCAATCCTTCCTCTAGAAGCTCTCATTCTGATTCAAGGAACACAGTAAGGAACTGAAATGTCTGCTCCGTAAGCGATCAGAGAGCAAGCGTTCGCTGCAGAAGACCTTTTCAGTGTTCTCAGATACAAGGCACAGGGCCCTCAGCGCGGAGCGAACTAGCGGCTGACCGCCTCCGCTGTAGGTCCACACACCTGTGTGCTTGTCCCCAGTGACCAGCAGGCTACATCCACGCGTCAACCAAGAAGTGAGGGGGTCCTGCCCTGAGCCCCATGCTGTGAGAGCCTCGCTTTTATTTGGTCTCCCACCAGCTTTATTCCTTCCCACAGGCTAAAGATTCCATAGAATCTTCTAGAACGTATGCCAGGATACCCAGAGCTGTGAGAATGCCTGCCCCAATAGCTCCAAACCCACTTCCGGGGACCCTCTTGTTGAGACACCTTGTGACGAAGACATGCCGCATAGGTACGGGATGGCCAGAGGGGTTGTTGGGTGGGCAGAGAGGGCAGCCTCCGCGTCTAAACACCATCCTATCTACAAAATATGCACCCCAGATCGCCGAAAGGGCGTAAAGGAGCCCGATCTCCCGTGCTTCCCCTTTCAGGAGAGGAATTTGGAGACATCTAAGAGGTATCGAACACCTGCTAAGGAGTGATGGAGACAAAGGCTAAGACAGATGTACTGACAGACGTGTAAGGGCACGGATGGCAGCGAGGCACGCTCAGAACACCGGCTGAGGCCATATACGCAGTTGTGAAAAAGTGCCGCAGGCGCCATCTGCATTCCCAGCCAAACTCCATGGCAGGGAGGGGGCGGCGAGTAAAGTGGAGAGAGGGTGTTCAAGAACCCAGGGAGATGACAGGGTAGCAACAGGAGGAATCTGGTGCAGTATGAGCGCACGGCCGTCAGCTGATACGCGGAGCCAGTCACCGGCTGGGATTCAAAGGGGCGGGCCGCGGCCGACGTCAGCGGCATTGCCGCGCGTCACCGCAGCTTGCCGCATCCACTAGAGCTCTCTGGACCAGCGCGGGTGCAGGGCCTCTGCAGGAGCTACCTAGACCTCTGCGGAGTCTCTGCTAACATGGCCGACTCGGAGAACCAGGGGCCCGCGGAGCCCAGCCAGACGGCAGCGGCGGCCGAGGCGGCGGAGGAGGTAATGGCCGAAGGTGGCGCGCAGGGGGGCGACTCTGATGGTGCGGCTGGCGACTCGGATGGCGCGGCGGCTCCGATGGCCGAAGAGCCCCAGACCCCCGCCGAGAACCCACCAAAGCCGAAAAATGACTTTATCGAGAGCCTGCCTAATTCGGTGAAATGCCGAGTCCTGGCTCTCAAAAAGCTGCAGAAGCGATGCGATAAGATAGAAGCCAAATTTGATAAGGAATTTCAGGCTCTGGAGAAGAAGTATAATGACATCTATAAGCCCCTACTTGCCAAGATTCAGGAGCTGACCGGAGAGATGGAGGGATGTGCATGGACCTTGGAAGGGGAGGAGGAGGAGGAGGAAGAGTACGAGGAGGAGGAGGAAGGAGAAGCGGAGGAAGAAGATGAGGCTGCCGCGGGGGCATCCGCGCGCGCCAAAGATGCGGGCGCCCACGAGATGCCGGATGACGCCAAGAAGTAAGAGGGGGCAGAGATGGAGGAGCAAGCTGGCAGAGAAAACAGCTTTTTTTTTTTTTTTTGAGTTTGATGGACTTAAAAAGGCTCAGGTTTTTGGACCAAAATACAATGTGAATCTATTCTGACATTCCTAAAATTGACTAAATTGAAACAATTAGATCCTGGCCAGCCCATTTCAAATTTGACTTTCATTTTGAACATAGTAAATATATCAAAAGGTGTGGAAGAAAACCAAATTAAACATAAAATTAATTTTTCATGATCTCTTCTGTGAGGACTCGAACTGAGGCTTGTACGGGGTGTCAACAGATGGGGAGTAAAGAACGTCACTGTGAAACCCATTCATCACACAGCCATCACACTACACACCAACACCCGAGCCAAGCCCTACTGCGTTCTCAATGCGTCATTCTTCAGTTTCTCTAGTCCTGACATCTCCCGGAGCAGAGAAGCAGAGCTCAAGAAAAACGTCATCTTTTAAGACTTTGCTTTGTAACCAGACATCAATCAGCTTTCTTCTTCAGGAAAGCAATGACATCGAGGAAGCCTGCGATGGAGATCATGACTCTACTATTAACGAGGCCAGGAAAACTGCCATTTCTAATTCTTAAAAAACGTTCTGAATGTTTGAATTTAGAGAAACATGGTTCCAAGGAGATTGTAAAACTTGTATAATATCGTCAACACATGTATTCATTAGTTATGATCTCATGTTTATGTGTTTTCTTGGCAGTGTCTATTTACAAAGCGTAAAAATGTTTAAGTATTAAATCACTTTACCTAGCATCTTAGAAGCATTAATTTACTTGAAGAGATGTAGAATGTAGCAAATTACGTAAAGCATGTGTATCCAGTGTTATGTAGTTTGATCCTTGTGAAGTCTGTATGTCTTGTAGCTTTTAGGGTGTAGCTGTGAAAATCATCAGAACTCTTCAATGAAGCTAACATGTTTGGAAAAATTATATACTTGAAGAACCAATCCAAGTGTGTGCCCCTACCCCCAGCTCAGAAGTAGAAAGGGTTTAAGTTTGCTTGTATTAGCTGTGCCTTCATTATTTTGCTATGTAAATGTGACATATTAAATATAAAATGGTGCATAATTAAATTTTACTGCTTGAGGACAGACTGGCATACAGGAAGGATTTTTAGAAAGAATATATCTAATGTAAAGACTCTTAGCTTCTTTGTGGGTTTTGAATTATGTGTGTGCCAGTGATCTATAAAAAGCATAAGCATAAAGTTGTTTACCACTGTGGTGTTAATAAAAAAATATTTTGAAAAAAAAGGACTTGGTACTCTGCCTGTATTCACATCTCAGCTCTGCCTATTAGTAATGCACCTTGCGCATTTCAGCTAATACTCTTTGTGCTCAATTTTGCCTCATCTATAAGAGGGAATAGTAATAATCCCTTCTTCACAGGTGGTTATAAAGAACAAATGAATTAATACGCAAAGCCTGTAGAACATGTCTGACACACAGTAAGTGCTGAATAATTTTCAGCTATTATTACATGAGAGATAAAGGCACTGGAAATTCATTTATTGGAAATTCAATCCTCCTTTTCTCCTATAACAAAAGAAAATGGATATCATCATATCCCTCTATGATTCCTTATTACAAGAGAAGAAAGTAGCCTTTAATTCAGAAACACAGGAAATCCAATGAACCATCTCCTTAATATAAAATCAGGTTTTGATTTCCTCCCAAAAAGGATAAAAAAAAACTTAAATGTGACATATATACACAAAAATAGCTATTTCAACCTTACATTTGGGCATTCTGAATGAAACAAAATCTTTTTTTAAACTAGGCTCAAAATAATTTTAAAATCAGATGCCATTTTTTCCCATTTCCCTTAAGGATTAAAGTTACAAAGAAGCAAAATGACACTGCTTTACCTTAGGGAATGAAAGGCAGCTCTGACCTGTTGCTAATGACAACAGCTGAATGCAGCAACCTTAAGGTAATGTTAATCTTCCTTATGGCCAGGCCATCCAAATAGAAAATCAAAACAATACGTAAGAAGTTCTAATTATCTTAATGTTATCATTATCTTAATAGAGAAAAAAATCTAATAAAATTTAATATTTATTTCTTATCTCTAGGAATGAGAGATACGATCATTTAATACATTTCTAGGTCCAATAAAAAGCAAAATAATTCAAACACAAGGGGTATAATTATTGAGAAAAGTTTTTTGCCAGCATACGATTATTTACATATAGAGAACCCAAGAGAATCAACTGAAAAACGATGAGATTTAATAAGTTTGGTTATCAGATAAATGCCCCAAACCCAATAACTATTTCTAGGCATTAATAATGATCAAAACATATGGGCAAGGGCTCTCTTTTGTGGTAGAAATAAGAAATAAAAATATCTATAAAAACTTCAAATAATGTGTATAACCTAAGTGAAAAGTAAAAATAAAGAAATGTAACATAGGCTTTGGGTGGTAAGATTAAATATCATAAGAATGTCAGTTTTTTTCTGAATTAAGTTTTAATTTATCACAATTTTAATCAAAACCCAAACTGGATCAAGAACCTCATATATTTACATGAATGTTTATCTGTAAGAATAGCTAAGAAAACTTTCAGCAATTTGTAAACTGTTTAGATTTTTTACCTCAGACTACAGACCCCCCATCACTTTTTTAATCAAAGAAAATACATTAAATATTCATTAATTACTGGACAAAAGAAGGCTAAGATTAGAGTGATAGAAGACGAAAAGAAATCACAGACATGACGACATAAAAATTGAGAAAGTATAAAGATTTAAAGATATACACTCTACATTTGAGAAAGCAAAAACAAACTGGGAATAAAATCTATAATAAATATGGATGGCAAAGGGTTAATAATAAAAAGTTCGTACAGATGATATGAAAATTATTTAGACTTAATGGAGAAATACATAAAAACCATCAACGGATTAAGAAGAAGGAACACTGTAAAACCCATCTGAGGCAGAAAGACACGTTCCGGAAACTGCAGTACTAGGGGAATCAAGGCTCCAGCAAGGTCTGGAGACAGAGACGTGCGCTCCCAGCTGTGAGCTCTGGCCAGCAATCTTTTGTTTATGATAAGACTAGCTGTAGGGTTTGCTAGCTACTGTCATACCACTGCAGGCCCCTTCTCTAAGGATACAAGGATGTTTATGGTGCTCTTTATAATGTTAAGTGATGTGGACCGTTTCCTGACTGGGCTGATTTTTACTGTTTCCCAGACTGCTTATTTGATATAGTTCCCCAGGCACAATAAAATCTGCGTGTTAAAATCTAGCAGGATACCCTCCCTTCAAGACAGGTCAAACATTATCACTCATAAGCCATTTTTAACCCATTAGAGCCTAAAATTAGTCACTGAAGCACAAAACAGCTGGCAGAGAGAACGTACGCATTTATCAGACAGGCACCCAGAGCTGGGGTTATGCAGCAAAGTGTGGCGTGCTCATGCTCACTGTGCAAGCACAGCACAGCAGCTGCGCTGGTATTTACACTCAATACACACGCAGACACATTTAGACGTGTACACACACAAACGCTTTTTTATTGAGGTAAAATTCACAGAGCATAAAATTAACCATTTTAAAGGAGACAATTTTGTACATTCAGAATGCTATGGAACCATCACCTTCTATTTAATCCATGTTTTAAACAAAATGTTTTAGAGGTAAATAGTAGTAAAATGGATCAATACCATATAGAATAGGTAAATAGGCTATGTGTGAAAAATGTAGAATTTTAAAACTGAGATTGAGTTTATTTGTTTTTTCCGACAGAGAGAAGGCACAAGTCACTGTTTGGAAGGACCAGGTGAAACGGGTATTCACATACACTGATGATGATATATAAGCTACTATAATTCATGAGCAAATTCAGCAAAAATATCAACAGATTCAAAATGCTATATATCCATTTTGATTTTATCCTTGTGACCTTATCATTGTTCATTTTTAAAAATCAACTTTAAAAGCAAAAAACCTGTATACCCAAAAGATGTTTGATTTAGTCTTATTAAAAATTGTGGTGGGGGGGAAGAGAAAGAAAAAAGAAAAAAAGAACATACAAATAAATACAACAAATATCCTAAAGTGAAGAAACAGAAAATACACACACAGCAGACCATACAGCCCTTATCAACGGTGTCCACGAGGGCTTATAACAACATTTTAAATGTAAGCACTGTTTTCTCCTACATTAAAATTCATTCAATTTCATAAATATATAGCATGTCTGTACCTATGCCAACTCTATTTTTTTTCTATTAATTACATAGTCTGCCTGAAAGGAAAAACCACGAACTCTCAAACGCTTAAAGCTACTTTTCTTCTGGGGGGAAAAGGGGGGCAGGAACTCTAAAGCCACCCAGTCCTAGACTGTGAGAGGCCGTATGTCGACACCTCTAGAGCACAACAAGCTCTGACTCCACCTGCCCGGCTCTGAATCCTGAACTTCTAGCTGTGAAATCAAGAGCAAGTGATTTATACCGCGCTGTGCTTCAGTTTCCTAATCTGTAAAATGAAGAGGCTTAACACTTATAGTACTTTGAATAGTGCCCGACACATGGTAAGTACTCAAGAAACGTTACTAGCATTTTAGTTACCTGTGGTTCCTTTAACAGCCAATGTAATCTTACAGGCTGCACCCCTCACAGACCATCCTGAGAGACCAACTGAAGTCTGTCCACAATGACCTTAAATCTGGCATTTTTCACTGTGTGGTCCTGTTACCATTCTCTGTCTCTTCCCGTTTTCCCAGGGGAAAGCAATAGCATTTAATTTGATTGCATAAAATTGAAGTAAATTTCAGGGGATCTAGAACAATATGTGGGATTCTCATTAATGGTAATAATACCGCATTATATTATAGAGTGTGAGAAATACTTCACCACAAGTAGCCACACAATATACTATTATCCAGAAGTGACTACCAGTGGCAAGATTTGGTACTGATGCAGCCACCAGCAATCAGCCACAGATATTCTTTTACTTGGATTCCCATAACTCATTTGACTGTGAAGCTCTGGTCCAAGGATAGAAAGCAATTTTAAAACCAAATGGAAAAGAGTAAATGATGTAGCTGAAACAGGTATTCCTCTATGGAAGTCCTGACAGCAAGTACCTTACTGTTAACAAAAACAGCCTCAATGCCACCAATATCTGTGTATATAACCACCTAAGTTAAAAATCTAGCAGGCAGTATTCTTACGGTTCATTCATTTTGTTTCTTACTCATATAATATGGGAGTCTCAATGATGAAACTATGGCATATAACCAAGGAAATCACACCTACAATGATTAATCTTTTACAACTTCATAAAACCTTTCTTAGCACGATCTTTTTTTTTTTTTGTAGTTGTAGTTGTGTCCCGCACCCAGGAGGTGTGCCATATACCCCTACGTTGTGTCCATTAGGTGGGAGCACACTGATTCCCCCTCTCCCTGACTCCCTCTTATCAGGATCTTAATGTACTTTGCTAATAAGATTCCCATTCTATGCAGCATAAAAGGAAAAGAAAAAAATTCACTCATGTCTTTTTCTGGTTGTTCTGAACCGTAATGGCTATATTAAGCTGCGTGGCCGTAACCACATTAGGTTATTAGAAGCTGTGCAGCAGTGTTATGGACTGAATATTGACGCCCCCCACAAAATTCCTACACTGAAACCCTACCCCATAATGTGACATTATTAAGAGGTGGAGCCCTCATGAATGACGCTAGTGCCCTTCTACGAGTCACGAGAAGGCTTGCTTCCCATGGCTGCTCGCCACCACTGGAGGATACAGGTTGCAGCCTGCATCCTAGAAGAGGGCCTTGGCCAGAACCGGACCTTGCTGGTGCCCTGATTTTGAACTTTCAGACTCCAGAACTGTTAAGAAAAACATTTCTATTGTTTATAAGACACTCAATCTAAGGTACTTTGCACTAGTAAACTAAATGAGGATAAACAGGTAACTGTGACAGCAACAGGGTCTCCTGCCTGACACTGAATGACACAGAGACACATACAGCAAATACCTAATGACGCCAGAGAACCAAAACCTGAACTTTGACCTAACACTGAAGCTGTTCCATTCTTGAATCTGAAACACAGTGTACTGGCAATCAATATGGGAACCCTCTCGCGGCCTGGCAATATGTAAAACAATGTCACTCTAGTGTGTAAAGGAGCTTAAAAGAAATATTGAAGCTTTTGTTTAGAAAGCCACAGTAACAGAAATAAATGGAGTTTTTATAACACAAGTAAAATTAATGAAGTGGTTCCCTTTCTTATTGTGTCCTTGGGTTGAGGTAGCCTCTTTCTTATAAAGAGTCTGTCGCTAGAACATCCATCCTATGGTAAATGCTTTGAAGAAGGAGCAATGAAGTCAAAGGCAGGCAAATAATCAAAAGTCAGAGAAAAGGAATCTTCTGCCTTCTAGACAAGCATATGCAGTCCTCAACGCACCAGTGATCCCGGATTCCAGAACCAGCGCTGGAGTTAAGCAACATCCATGGCATGTATGTACCAAGCAACAGATATGAACGGTAGAGGAAGAAAAGAGAAAAAGATAAAGAAAAAAAAGTGTGCCATGGACTTACTTCTATCACGCAGCTACTGTGCTTACAAGCTGACAATGGTTCCTTACTACTTACTGAATGAAGCCTTCACTTCTCAGCCTAGTTTTCAAAGTCTACAATCTAATCCCCCTAAACTAATATATTCAAACATGGCTTTTCCCAGCAATGCCCCAGTCCAACATGCATCCCCCACTCACTCACCGTGTTCTGCCTGAAGCAAAACCCAGGTTATTCCATCGATTTACAGGGTATCTTTCATTTTTATGGGTGCTTCTCTGCTTTCTAGTATCCAAACCTTAGAAGACTTCCGAACCTAGCTCTATCCCACATCAGCCCTCACAGATGTATCTGCCCAAGTTGACTTTTCTGAAGGGCTTCAGATTCAACCCCTCAATTTAGTCTTCACATTTCATTTATGGTTGCATATGAGAACAGCTTATCACCTTAAACAAATTCTTTTTTATTTTTATTTTTTGAGACAGAATTTCACTACATAGCCCCATAGAGTACTATGGTATCACAGCTTACAGCAACCTCCAACTCTTGGGCTTAAGCAATTCTCTTGTCTCAGCCTCCCAAGTAGCTGGGACTACAGGTA